CTGTTTGTTTTAGGTATCCCGGCATTGGTCCAGCAACACATGTTAGTTGTAACCGGTGCCTTCATAGGCTGAGACAGATTTTGGTTTGTTTGGTTCCTCTGTTTGATACATATTGCTACAGACTCTGAATAAATGTAAACCCAAGTTTTACGCGCATGTAAATCTAAAGAAAATATGCCCTTAAGCAGCCACAACCACTCCGTCTTATTTCAAATGTTTGGCTTACAGACAGACAGACAGACAGATATAGTTTATTAAGGTGTCACGTGAACGATTACATGAAATAAAATACACAATATGCATAGTAAAATATCGTTCACCCAGCCAATAAGGCTTATGAGACACCATACACAATTTAATAACTATATACATTTCGTTTTAGAGTAAAATATAAGAGGTAGTTTAAATGAATAACATTTTTACGGGGAATATTAGTCGTCTTCTAAACATGTTATTCACAGTGGTTGATAAAATTAGCGGGTCTGACGACATTAAAATACTTAATAAATGCACATTGTTACATGACATAATTAATGTGTTGTGTTTATTGTTTAAGAAATGACCTCTTAACATGTATATCAAATGTATACAATTGGTTTCTAATGATTGTAAAATAATCCTTTGTGTAAATTTGATTTTGTTTTACATCACATGTAATACTGTTGTTTACAAGGTGATAATGTGCGAACATCATGAAATTATTCAAATGGGATTTTATACGTCAAAAGTAAATGACGTGGACACACGCCCCTCTTGCAAAATATATGAGAATCACCATTATGTCCGTATAAACGATGCAGAGCAAATTATGAGTTAATAATTCCATTACAGGTGCACAATGACTACATATATACTTATTCTATAATTAGTCTGACACATAGTAGTCGAGATCATGTACTTTCTTTGAAACTTCTGTGCATATGTTTTGGAAACCACGGTGGCTAAGTGTGCTAGATCGCTGACTTTGTATGCTTGCGATCAAATGTCTCACTCAGAGTGTGTGGGTTCGAATGCCGAAATACCCCCTCACCCCCCTCACAAAAAAAGACGAAGAAAAAGACAAAGTACTAGAATCTGTACTTTACTAAGATAGTGTAATCCCAAATACAGTATATGTAACCCACACAATTTAAGGAGTATAACACGGTTTGTAGCAGTTTCTTTCTATTATATCATACCGTTGTTATCAATAGTGTTACTGTGTATAACAGGCTGTGTTAAATAATGCTCCCCCTGGGTATATACCTGAAGGCTATTATGCCAGTATTAATTACACCAGGTTCAGTAAAACGATTCTACTGTGCTGTTTATCGCCCGGTGTTATCTGAATGAACTAAACAGGGAACAGTATTTACCCTAACAGCTCATACATAATGCGTGATCATATATTTATAGAGTGACTGACTGACTGAGTTTGGTTTTACGCCGCTTTTAGCAAGATTCCAGCAACATCACGGCGGGGGACACCAGAAATGGGCTTCACACATTGTGCCCATGTGGGGATTCGAACCCGGGTCTTCGGCGTGACGAGCCAACGCTTTAACCATTAGGCTACTCCACCGCCCCATATATTTATAGAACCTATATGAACTTAAATATGATATGTGAGTGTAATATTCTGCTTATTGTCACATATATTATTTAGATTAGGGTGAAACAATATAGTTTCCTTACCGTCAATCTATCAATCGAAATAAAGGTCAAGGTTTAAACGTTTCTCGATAAACGATTGGACGTTATTGGCGATGCAGCGTTTTTTCAATTATGTATAGATTCTACTTTCTGTTTTCTACAACAACGGTAAACAACAAAATATGCTATCATCAACAGCTGAATAGTTCACTTGCGCAAAATAGTGACATGATACAAGGGCAACAATAGTACTAACGCTTTAATGAAAATAACATGTAGCATTAGGTAGAGTTAACATGGATCTCCTTCCATATTTTAGATATCAAACTTTACAGCTAACTGCGGGGCAACAGACGTTTCTCCTTTTTTTATTGACTTTTTATTGATGTTTAGTATGAACGATATGTGCTTTTATGGATGACAACTTCTTTATTATATCGTCAAGCAAGTGTGAGTACAGAACAAGAACTTATACGTATATATCTAACATGGATTAATTAAGACATGATAAAGGTATGCATCAAAGGGATTAACAATAGCGGTGGATATATATTGGTAATGATGCTTTCACAATAGGAGGAAGTCAAATGTTCATGAGGCGGAACAAAATATACAAAGCAGTCTGTTCTGTGCTGCATCATGTCTGTCTTGGTATTGTGTATTTATGGCAGTGTGTAATCACGATACGCTTGGTTGACACTGGTATACGAATCTGTACCGAAACGTCGCATCATAAATATAGAAGTTGTCTTCCTTAAAGTATCATCCCTTTCTTAACAAACGCATGTCTTTGTGGGCATCCATTAGTTTGTGTTTTCATTGCCCGTATCGGTGGACATCTTACTGCGAATATCTGTGTGGAGTCAGCTGTGATCTTTACATTGTTGGTTTACGCAGACGTTGATATCAGTGCAGATATCGGTACTTAATTCCAACATCGTCCATACCTCTCAGTGTGGCCTATCTCTACATACAGATGCATTAACCTGGCTGGACTGCGATGAAGACGATGGCAGGAGAGACGTCAGGGATGGGATGCTGGGGACGGGGAAGTCCTGCATAATTAATCAAAGGTTGTCTGGCTTGGGATCGATTATAAATATTATAGGCTGTCGTCATATTGTTTGGAACTTCCGCAATGAGGAGTTAAGAATCAAACCAATCCTTCACTTAACATCTTAAGCCAAATTAATGCATAATAAGCATAGTTTGTTTTACACAACATAGAGACAATGAAAATGAGATTTGATAAAATCGGGAAAATATATTAGGAGAATGAGTATGGTTTGGGGCCGCTTTGGTAACATTCCAGCTATATATATGCAGTGAACACCACAAATGTTCTTCACACATTGTATCCCTGTGGGAAAATCTAACGAGGGTTTTCGTCGTGATGAAAGAACACTTTACCTACTGACAATCCCTTCTAAACAAATCGCTTGGTGCTCAACGTGGTCTTTGCCTTTGCAAAGAGTCAGAGTGGGGTCGAAAGTTGTTCAATATCCGGTGTTCTTCTCACAAATGGACTGACTGACTGACTGAGTTTAGTTTTACGTCGCTTTTTAGCAATATTCCAGCAATATCACGGCGGGGGACACCAGAAATGGGCTTAACACAATGTGCCCATGTGGGGAATCGAACCCGGGTCTTCGGCGTGACGAGCCAACGCTTTAACCACGAGGCTACCCCACCGCCCCTCTCACAAATGGAGAGTGAGTGAGTGAGTGTGTTTAGATTTACGCCACACTCAGCAATATTCCAGCTGTATGGCGGCGGTTTGTAAATAATAGAGTCTGGACCTGACAATCCAGTGATAAACAGCATGAGCATCGATCTGCGCAATTGGGAACCGATGACATGTGTCAAACAAGTCAGCGAGCCTGACCACCCGATCCCGTTAGTCGCCTCTTACTAAATTTACCCACTCACTCACATAATCTCAAACGCATTTACAACACTCTCATTTATACAAATTACTTGACCGTGAAGATCAGTTCAGTAAATGGGTACCCGTTAGGATGCTAATCTTGTAATTCCAAGGACAGTCACACCACAAAAAGTGAACACCCTGACTGTTGATATATAACCTAAACACATGTTAATTTTCCACAAACAATGACAGTGTATCTTGTAATGTTAAAACCTACATTCTTCTATTAAACATTTATGCAAAACCAAACTGCGAGCAGTTGGGCTAACATTAGCATCTCAGTTGAAACATCCGTTCTGTGAATCATCTGGGTAATTTTCCGTTTACTGCGAGAAACCCATTATTTCCAACGTGGCACTGCGTGGATATTGGTAAAAGGAGCGTAACCTACTCTCACTAACCTACTTTCAATACTAGTGAGTGAGTGAGTTTAGTGTTACGCCGCACTCAGCAATATTCCAGCTATATGGCGTCTGTGTGTAAATAATCGAGTCTGGTCCAGACAATCCAGTGATCAACAGCATGAGCACTGATCTGCGCAATTGGGAACCGATGACATGTGTCAACCAAGTCAGCGAGCCTGACCACCCGATCCCGTTAGTCGCCTCTTACAACAAGCATAGTCGCCTTTTGTGACAAGCATGGGTTGCTGAAGACCTATTCTACCCCGGATCTTCACGGGTCACAAATGGAGATAAACAACTCGAGTGATATGGTACACGATATTATTGAATAATCTCCCGCGTTTACGAAACACCTGGCACAATGGCTTAAAATGATCAATTTTATCATTACTTGCTTTGATAACACCAGTCACCACTGGCCTGTAGTTATCAGTAATATCCTAAAACATCGAAATGTCGTTTCGGGTTTCTTGGGTTGGGGTGTTTTAAAGAAAAGACTGAAACAGTGAGAAAACAATCAGAATAAAAAAAGAAGTTGAAGCAAAATAGTTTTCAAAAATAGAATTACGGAAACATCAAGCTTTGTATTACAACAAACAGGACAGGGAACAGTAAGGTTTGATTATCAGTCAGAAACACTGTAAAAGGGTAAATATTGATGACTGTTATACGACTGAGGCAATAACACTCACTCATCCGTTTAGCAGCCTTGTGGCTGGACTATAAGAATGGAGACAAGATGTATGAGGATTCATACTAGAACACCTTAAATATGACACTTGTTGATACCGTGCCTGGAATTCTGGATTAACGGGGTTAAGTCGGATCAGGTCGGCTGTCGGTAGGTATGCTGTGTTTGAGTGGGGTATCTATCACAAAACTGTTTCATGTTATCTCCTTGGGCTCGAAATATTATCAAGACCAACATTATTACACACACAACAAGCACAGACGCAGTTCTGAGTAAGTACAATAACATTGTACGCGGCGTTTTATCCAAGTTTACCTCACTTGAGTTGACCTGACTTTGTAGAACAAGTCAATGCAAATAGGCACTCACAATACTGTCACGCTGACCTTACATGGAAAACAGCCATGTATTCTTTTCAGCTATGTAACGTTTTCATAACCTTAAGAAAGCTACACACATTCGATAATTGCACGGGGATCTTAGAAATAAACGTTTTTAAAACTAGTAAAATTGGCTTTTGAAACGCCGTAAATAACATTGTCAGGTGTTACGTGGACTCAATGATAAACTATTTTGAGTGTGTCGGCGATGACAAAAACTTGGAAACCGTTGTCAAGGGCCTTTCAAAACAAACTCTTATTAGTGATTTTTCAACATCAATGAGAATTTATTTTGTGCAATGGATTTTGTTGTTTCATTATTTGAATATCCAAGTTGTTATGTATAATATAGTTAGTTGATACATGTATACGTTCTTTTGTCCCTATCAGTCAAGTGAAAAGGAAGTAACGCTACTGCGTCGTGGTGTGCTGGGCTTGTTTCAGCAAACCGAACGTTTCACTATCTGAACATTTGTGATGAAAAACGGCACTGTTCGGATTAACGCTGTCTGACCGTATCTTCAATCATGAGGACTACTGGAACACCCGTAATCTCTTCAGTACTGTGAGCTGCTGGATAACACGGTTTCTCGCCAGAGAATGGCGTTACGAAGATATTGTAGAGTCACACGTATTCTCCTCGGTGGCATGGAGTTTAGTAACAGGGTGACCAAATTGTTAGTCCAATTATGTTTAAGAGGCACCATTAGGGCCTATTACCAGCCGTGCCTGTTCATCTTATCATCTATCATATTATTTCCGTATTAGTACATAATTCTTGCAATGTAGTTTAAGCGTCATGCACCAAGTCAACGTTCAGATTGCCAACATGACATTTCTACACTGAAGAAATATCAAGACATAAAAATATGGTCCTCATTAATATGTTTTATGGACGGTCTCTAGGCCATGCTATGGTCCCAATTTGGTTGCAGTGCTGCAATTTGGATTTTTTATGACTGGTTTATCTCGCCTATGTGAAGTAATTTACTATCAAATGCTATGAATACATGATTATTTCAATAAAATTGCACATAATCCATATATTATTATCTATGTAATTCCAGTCACTGTGTAATATCGGTGAGTGAGTTGTTTGGTTAAACGGCAGTCTTAATCATATTTCAGTTTTGTCAGCTTTATTTGTTGTTGTAAAGCCGCACCCGACAAATATTCCAGCTACTTGACGACTGTCTGAAAGTCTCGACCAAACAATCCTGTGATTGCAACCATGCTCACCTATACATAAGCAGGCAGGAAACACACATGTTAAACATGACAAACAGGTCAGCGGTGCACCCCTTTTGTTCTTTTTGTTTTGTTTTTTTAATTTCCATTTTTTATTCCCACTCTACAACACATATAATACAGTAATATGCATATACTCTCATATACACACATATACATATACATACATACATATGCACATACATATATAGATAGATAGATGTACAAGTTTTTCCCCTCAGCTGAAAAAGATGGGTGGATTTACAGATAGGCATTCTTAGTTCCGGCCATATGCACATAGCTACCACAGTTGTATGTATGAGAGTGTACATAATTTTAGTCTCAATTGGAAAGTATAGTTTACAGATAGGTATTCTAAGTTTGTTTAAACGTGCACATAGATATGCATTCATATATAAAAATGTACATGTACTTTCCCTCACTTGGAGGGTATGTTTATAGGAAGACAGTTTAAGTTCTGTCAGTCTTACTTAAGTAATACAATCATAAATATAAAGATGTACATGTGTTTCCTTTCACTTGAAAGGTATGGGTTTCAGGTTGACATCAGATATTCTGCCAATCTTACACATAGATAGTACAGTCATAGTATAAAGATATACATTTATCATCCAAAACTGTGTTCCGCAGGAGATATCGCTTGTGTGTCGATATCTCCTAGGAGATATCGTTTTGACAGTAGATTTTGTACAATGCCCTGACAATGCTATGACGTCATGTACTTGATGACGTCACAATGCTATGACATCGCTGCACTGCAAGTGTAATGGCAGTACCGTGTTGAGAGATGTACATATTTCATTGAAAATTAATGAAAAGTGATTTTGGATGATAAATAGAATCTCACCCTCGTGTCTTCTGATATCAAATATATCAACATTCGTTGATAAAAGTTAAAATTTGTAATTTTATCAACTCGTGTTGATATAATTGATATCAGAAGACACTTGGGTGAGATTCTATATACAGATTGGTATTCCGTGTACATAGATAGTACAGTCATACTTATAAAGATGTGCATGTTTTCCTTCCAGGTGAAGACACCCCTTTTGTTGTCACGGCCAAGTCATCTGAGTTATCGTCATGGACGAGACAACTGTCATTACACAAGGCAGCAGTTCCATGCATCTAAATTTCAGTTACAGAACTTAATTGAATACTTCTGTGTGTCGATTTCCCAATTCAAATATTAAGTTAATTCAGATAATTGTAAGTAAAATAATCTAGTTGAAACAACAACCGACACAGAAATGGTATACAATTAACAATTGTATAATATAAATTAACCAGGCTCACAAAACAATATAAATTACTGCAGAATACCTACAATCGCAGAACAAAGATGACTGGCAGTACATATCTAGTTGCAGGACATTTACAATGACGGTACAAAATAAAATGGCTTTGGTAACAACAACATCGGTGATAACAATATTCAGCTAGCAGCAACTCCAAACAGGCAAAGTTTTCCAAAATAGACATAGGCAAGATATCCAGCCTACAAATAATGTCATCTGTCATATATATGCCAAATATAACTGTTCTAAAAAATCCATTACGTACTGGATGAAACCATTGTAATTGACTCCTCGCTTTAATATGACAGTAAGCACATCACTGCCCTCCTTTGAATATTAACAGAAACACTGCACAACAATTACAACGCTGCATTACAATAAATAACACTGACACATAACAAAACGGACTAAAGAAACGGAATAATAATTTTCGTCTGTACTTCAACACAATTTGAGGTAAAACGGTTTCTGTGTCGGTCGGCTTCGTAATTATGTCGGAGAATGTGCCCTTCTGACACGATTGTGCTTTTCAAAGTCTGTCGTTCGATAATTTACCCAGGTGTGTATTCAAGGCTTATGGCCAGTCCCGTTACGGTATTAGGCGAAGTGTTGCGGTACGTGTTCGAAGAACCCTCTTCTTTCTTTCTTGCTTTGTAAAAAGATAATGTTTTCCTACTTTTTACACAAATATACCAGAACGGAAAAGGCTGCAGGTGACCTTTCGAGTGGGGAACAACTGAATACCTCCAGCGTTTTTACAGCTAAATGTTTTCCACACCAGCCGATGTTCGAGGAAGCTTTATTAAAGGTCACGTTCTCGGCATGTTATTTATTTTTTTATTCAGCTCTTCACAAATGGTGAATGACCCTAAACATCCCTAGGGTCCCCAGACATACAGTAACTGCCCGATTATGCTTTAAAAATGACCAGGACTGTGTTCACGGTATATAAATACAGGATGTCGGTACTTTGTGTTCTGTTTGCGCCACAGTTAAGTGGTGTTACGTTCCTCTGCGACGGATAGTTTTCTCTGTTGTGAGAACCGCGGCTAAACATATTGTCACACTTCAGGTCGGGAACAAGAAGTGCTTCTGTAACAGCCATGACTATTCCACGTGTCCTCATCCTGCTTTCAATCACAGGTAGGTTCGTTTGACTTTCATTAAAGTTCAGGCAAATACAATTGTTATGAAACAACATGTGTAACTTGCTCCAGCTTTGCCTTTCATACATGTCCGTGTGAAAACCACGTCCTAGTTTATAGTGAGTGAGTGAGTTACAATTTATCGTCACATCGGCAATATTTCAGCCATATCGTGACGAGAACAATTAATTTTATACATGGTAATTAATGGAAAATTGTAAAAACCTGTCAACGAAGGAGAGTAAAATAACTAGATTATCACAGATTCGAATTTAAAACTAGTAATTAAATCTAAAACAGTTTAACTATAGATGACAATACAAGGTAAAAACAGGCTATATACTGCCAACAACTGAAGGTAGATCACCATACTAGGGACCTCCTTGTTTATAGACACCTGCTGTGTATCAGAAGATGTACACCCATATTTAGTGATGTCTAATATATGAAGCATACAACCCACGGTTAGTAACATCGTCACCATGACTGTGATACTTTGTTCAAATTCTGTTGCTAGGTGTATACTTTCAGATACTAATTTTACATACTTGCGGACATAAGTAACTGTGCATAACATAACATTTCTTTGAGTGGCACTTTAGAAGTCGGGGAGAACAATAATGAACAAACCTTATGGATAACAACTTCTTTTATTTCGTGTTTCCTGATTGACTCATTCTTGCTTGACAACAGTACAATAATCAATATTGAAACACAGACATTGTTCAATATATCGTCCAACTAATTGCATGTGCACCTGTCACCCACAGTCTGATTAATCGCACCATGCCATAAGACCAGTGTCAAGGACCGTTCACCTAAACAACGGCTGGTCATGCCATACAACGTGTTTGAAATGAGAACGGTTTGTTCAGTTGCATGATTCTTTCCGATTATTGCAGTTATATTGCTATGCGATACGTCTCGAAAGGCTGCAACTGTGGAGGCCTTCCACCCACGTTTAGCTGACATGTCGTGATGAACCGGACAGAAATCTTCAAGACGTTACTGATCCGTGCAGATCCGGGTTAGAATTGATCTTCAGTAACCCATGCTTGTCGTAAGAGGCGACTAACGGGATCGGGTGGTCAGACGCGCTGACTTGGTTGACACATGTCATCGTATCCCAATTGCGTAGATCAATGCTCATGCTGTTGATCATTGGATTGTCTGGCCAGATTCGATTATTTACAGACTGCCGTGCGGTGTAAAACTAAACTCACTCACTCGCTCAAGATGATACTCACTTGCTCACTAGGGCCGCTTGAATATTGCTCAAAGCCAGACTCACTCACTCAGCTTTCACATGCTTAACTGGTTGAACTGAGGCCAGCTGATTCACTTTACAACTTGTTGAGATCAATTTGCAAATTGCTTTTACTCCTATGTTTTTTTTTTATATGTGTGTATGAAATGTGTAGAGTGATGTAACCTGCTGACATCAATGCTTGATGTGTAGTTGCAGCAACATCGCGACACCTCCAGAAGAGAGACTGGGTTCCTCCCAGAGACTGGGCCCGGTGTGCAGTGCTTGAGCAGCAGGCGCTGAACAACCTCACCGTTATCAGAGAAATAATGCAACGCGACGGTCTGAACACTTTGGTTACCAATGGCACTTTGAATCTCGACTGCTCGTAAGTTGAAGTGTTTGGATGTTTGGTTGTTTCTCCCACAACGTCGTTTATAGCGAATTTGGTTGTATGAATATTTCACAACGGGTAGCTCCAACGAGTTTGAAATTATCCGACATCTTGACATTGCATGATCCTGGGAATGAAATTATTGTTGTTTTGGTTATTTGATAGGTCCTGCCCTCAGCACTGAGCAACCCTGCTTGGTCATTCTCGTGGATTTCGGCAGACTCGAGAAGTGAAAAAGAGGACTTTCTGTACATTGCTCAGGACCAGTCACTTCCCATCGTCAATGTCTGATTTTTCACTAATATATACATATGAATTGTACATTATGATATCATGTCCACCTTTAGCACAAACACACTATAGTTAGATACTGTATGTCATTGCTCGTTCATTAGATGGTACGATTCAGAATACGTACAGGCCCCATGGAAAACGACAACTTTGAAATTCTTCAAGATATAATCGCATGAGCCTCAAGCGTAATGAAGAAAAAAGCAGTTTTGGGGATTCTATATATATTTTAGTAATAGCTCTTGGTGGGCACGACGTGCTTCCAGTTCAGCGTCAACTGCATGTGAAGGGGACAAGGGCCCTGATCGGGTGATGATCCTGACCTTTTTTGACTGTTCCAGGATCGCCACACCCCTCTGCGTATATGCACTTAAATCTGTATATAATGATAACACTTTATCATTATTGTCATAATCAACATTGTCAGATCGGCGACACTGGAAGGAAACAGAGCATTGGGTGATGACGTTTGGGGCATGTGCATGAGTAGTACGGACCAGGATGTTTCCATCTTCACCAGCGTCTACAGCCACATCTGCAACAACCAACAAGGTAAGGATCATAGACACAAAGTCAGCCAGGGCTGACCCATGTATCACGTTGCCAACGACAACAATGCAAACTGAATACTTCCATGGATGTTTACAAATTTCAACCCCAGACAATACAAAATACTGACTATAGCACAACAGGTTATTTTGGTATTGCAAAGAGATTCATGTAATATATATTGTTCTCATAGTTCCTTTCTATTTAAATTTATTGGGTTTTTTTAAGTTTAAATTCTCTTAAATATCTGAGAGAAGGTGTCCGCGGATTGGTGTCCAATTCTTTTTTTAAATAGGTTTTTCACCACATATGACAAGCATCCCCATACATTTCTCCTACGCGTGTACTGGTTTATAGTTACCTTCAATCTCCACATAAACTCGTCATGGTATGTAATCTACATGAAAATGCTTTTCCTACATTGTGTTTTAAGCCTTCATCCAGTCGGAGGCCTGTCTGAGCAGCGGTGCCCCAGTAGCGGCGAGACGTAGTTGTCACATCGACACCACAGATTATGAAAGAAGATGCCGGTAAGACGTAGTGACACCTTGTTCTATTCAACCCTTGAGAATAACCTGTCTTGATCATCGTACGAAACAAATATCAGATGGAATCACGCAGGCGATACGGTTTCCATTGTTTTATTGCAAGATTAACTGATTCAATGTTCTGTCTGAAAAATAGTCGTTTTTCTAGCTATGTATCAACTCAGTTGTGAAAAAAGATGTTTTTATGACTCTGTCCATCGGTATGCAGTGTTAGGATTGTATTCGGGAAAGATCTATATGTCTTTTCACTTACAATTCACACACACACACACACACACACACACACACACACACACACACACATACATAATACTGACATCATTGAAAACGCACCACCTGTATTAGTTTGGATTTCCAAGAGCATAACTGAGCAATCGGTGTAAATTTTACATACTTTTGTAGTCCAATGATTGGTAAAGAAAAGAAACAAGAACCAATCCAGCAAAACAGTGAAGTTTTAATGCAGCTGACCATGAAAGAAAGATGGAGTCAAATTGGATAGTCAGTAACGTGTATGACCACCGTTAGCAGCAACCCAAGCTGTGCTGACGTCTCCTCACTGAACTGATAAGTCTCTGAATAGTGTCTTGAGGCAGTGCATTCCGCTCTTGTTGCAAGGCATTCACAAGTTTCCCAAGGTTGTTGACCTGTGGGCGACGTGAGAGGCGTTGGCCGATATAATCTCAATGGGAGACAAATCTGGCGACAATGCAGGCCATCGAAGTAGAGGAATGTTGTTGTTTGCCAGAAACTGTGTTGCAACACGTGCAGTGTGCACTCGAGCATTGTCCTGCTGGAATGTGTGCAGATCTTGATGTTGGTTAGAGAAGGGAACGACGTTGTTCTGAAGAATGGTGTCACGGTAGTAAAGGGCATTCACTCTGCCACGACAAACTACCAGAGCGGTTTTGTGATGATAACTGTCGCCCCCACACCACACCATAATGCTGTCTCCACCCCACCAATCTGTTTGCACAACACAGTCCTGATGGTAACGTTCTCCCCGTCGACGCCATACCCGTAGACGCCCGTCAGCATTTCGCAAGTGAAAACGTGATTCGTCGGAGTACACAACACCATGCCAACGTCGTAACAACCACAAACGATGCTCTTCAGCCCAACGTCGGCGTTCACGGCGATGTCTATCAGTCAGGATGGGTCCAACATAAGGGCGTCGACACCGTAATCCTACCGCACGGAGACGGCGTCAGACGGTGAAGCACTGATCAAACCACGTCGGCCTTGGACAGTGTTGGCGATTCTAGCAGCCGGCAACGTACGATCCCGAATATGGCGCCGAACAATGTCTCGATCTTGGCAAGGGGTGGGAACAAGTGCCTGGCCAGGACGTTGGCGGTCCCTGGTGGTTCCTGTTTGTTGGTACCTGCTGGCAAGTCTTATGATGGTGGAATAATGGCAACCAAATCGTCTGGCAATAATCCTGCTTGATGTGCCAATCTGCAACATGCCCAACGCCCGTTCTCGTTCCTCTGGTGACAATCTTGGCATTGCAAAATAAACTTTACTTGCGGAAGTACAGCTAAAATGAGAACCGTTTTTCGCCGACGGTCATGTATACCCCTAATCAGCATGTTGTACGCACGCAATTTGTGCTTTTTGTGTGTGTTGTGCATGAATTTTGTTGTTGTCATGTGATGTGTTCCATGATGTGTTCGGGCCATCCGTTCTTTACTGTACAACATTATTCATTGTCTTTTGTGTTATTAACAACATTTCCAACGTTCATTTTCACTCTCAAAACAATCCTATTACCATATTTCAAAATTTACAGGTGGTGCGTTTTCAATGATGTTCAATATATATATAAATATATATATGTGTGTGTGTGTGTGTGTGTGTGTGTGTGTGTGTGTGTGTGTGTACTAGTATATACTAGTCATGAAAAATGACAATTTTAAAATTCTGTGAGATATAATCGTATAAGCCTCAGGCGTAGTGAAGAAAACAGCAATGTTGGGGATTCTACATATTTTGGTAATAGTTCTTGGTGGGCATGACGTGCTTTCAATTGCAGTCTCAACTGCATGTGACTGACTGACTGACTGACTGAGTTTGGTTTTACGCCGCTTTTAGCAATATTCCAGCAATATCACGGCGGGGGACACCAGAAATGAGCTTAACACATTGTACCCATGTGGGGATTCGAACCCGGGTCTTCGGCGTGACGAGCCAACGCTTTAACCACTAGACTACCCCACCGCCCCCAACTGCATGTGAAGGGACAAGGGCCCGGATCGGATGAAACGAACTATATGTGTTTTCACTCTCTGCAGCAGTGACGTCCAGGAATAATTTCCCGTCCAGACAGCCTCCACTCAACGCTCAGTCCTGAATATATGTCATTTTGATAGAAACAACTTATTCCTTTTATTTTAAAAGAACTCTAGTAGAATGGAAGATTCCCTGAACATGAGAACATCTAGACTTCCTTCATGCAGGACTTTAGAATTGCAAGGGGCTAGGTGGAAGTGACAATATTCGCGTCAGAACAGAAATAAGTCATTGCTGTCTACTTTTGAGTAGAATGAGAGTTATCGTTCTTCACTGAAATTAAATTGCTGTTTATACGCCTTTGTTTCATACTCACGAATGCGTTATCGTCGGTTCTGATAGATTACGTACAATCGCTTTAAGTAAACCGAGCACCAGTGATTGCATGTTGTTTCTTACTGGAGTGAGTAAAACGCCATTAATATGATAGCGTCTGTACATTATCGCGTTTTCGTTATTTTCATTCCATATGTTTCCATAGACTTTGTTATATAGCATATTTAGTTTAAACTAAAACATTTGAAGATCCGGTTCAGAAGTGATCTTCAGCAACCCATGCATGTTGTAAGAGACAATTGGGATAATTGTGGATGGTGCATGTTGTCATTGTATTTTTGGAATATTTCGATGCTCGCAGTGCCAATCACTCGTTTGTCTATGAGAGATTCGATCATTAAAAAATTGAAAGTTTGCTGAGTGCGGCGTGAAGTAAAACAAACAATTCAAACTGATAAATTATCACTTTTCCAGTGAAGAGCCTGTCTGTATTGAAAACAGTCTCCGTGGGAGAAATGGGTGTTCCAAACGAATAGCATCTATTCTACGACGCATGGCTGCCCTTGACTTCAGCGTCATCATGGGCGACGACTGTATTTACCGAGCGTAAGTTGCAACACCACGGAAGCAATGTCTGAAGTAGTCCTATCTACTTATTAAGAAGCTGATCATCACACTGTATCTGTAAACTGCGACAAACTGGGTAGATCCGCCACGAGGGCAGCTTGCTTCGAAAAGTCGGTTTTTTCAACAGGGATGATTTCAACTTTGCAATAGTCAACTTCCCTTTCACGTCGAGTATTATTCCAACAGTTCCACCCTTTGGTGTTTACATCTCACAACTTTTGAGGTAAATCGAGCATGCATATTTATTAGGATTTCAAAGAGCGTCATACAACTCTTGCTCAGAAGTTGTTTTATCAAGGTTACAACATTCAAGGCCTCAGTAAAGCTTTCAAGACGTTTTATGGAGACATGTCTAGGAATGTCCAAATTTGATGCATCAGTGAAAAGAAATGATGTCCGATGCAATACCATATTTTGACTTATACCATGCGTTTCCGAACTACTGTATTTCAGGTGAACAATTGACTAGACCAAGCACATGTTTATGATGGGTGCTACCTTTTCGCGAACACTTGGTATCATCACTATTTCATAGTCATTTATAAGCTCTGTCATCGTATAGCATGATGACAATCACTGGATTGTCTGGTTCAGACCCGATTTGTTCACAAACAACATCGCACAGCTCTACTACTGCGCGTCTGAATGAAAGTTCATTCGGAAATACATGTGCAATACAACTCTTATGGTGCACACTACGCCATAGTACATGTGCCTTATTCTATCTATGGCATCCTGAAATTGATCAAGCTACGTGTCTGACCAAAATGAAAAATGCATATTTTCACAAGTAAATCCTCTCGTCTCAGTAGGGCCATATAAGAAGTAGACATGGAAACCCTGACCACGTGAATTAAACAATGATAAATACATACTTCAACACGTAAAGTCTCTAACATCGGTAGGGTCATATTCGAAGTAAACAAAAACAGGACACATATGTCCAGGTTATTTTCAATTAAGATTCCGTGGATTGGATGTTGTTTTGACCTCATATGTTACAATGAAGATAAACGATGCAATACATTTTACACATGTATAATAACACATAACACATAAATAACAAATCAAAACACTATATAGTTCTGTCGTTATCAAAGATGACAACGTAGATGCAGAGTATACATATGCAGACTGTTACCCCAGTGGACAATGGACTCCCTCAGGATAGCCACATCTTATTCCGTGCTAGGTACTCTGCGACATTACTGTGAGGGCTTACTGACGCATCCCGGTTAGGCCACCCGTATTCTTTTTGTCAGTTTCTCATCACATACCTAAGACATAAGAACGGGCGGGTGTAAAAAAATATCAAACATTTTTGTCACTAATTGTGTAACGTATTTAATGAAATTATTGAATTTAGACGAATTTTGACGAGTCGCTTCGGAAACACTTTTTAAAGAATATAGACAAAGAAGATCAATCAGTCCTGCATTTTATGATTTGGAAGCATATTTATTATCGCATCATTGCATAAAATTTCACCATGAGACAAGAAATATTGTTATTAGGTTTCACGTTGGAATGAACTTCTGGGTGGGCGAGGCATGGGAAACACATGTGAATCACGGACAACCTTAACTTATGAACTTTGATGATGCATACCGTGTGTTCGTTTCACGCCTTAGTATGTGTGCCTTGTTTAGCTGTTTCAGGGCATCCTGGCGTCTGGGTTTGGTTAAGGTGCTATCCCACACAAATTTCTTTGAATGCATCTCAGAAGTTGGGAGTACAGTCAATATTTCTGCTTAAAAATAGTATAAGAATCCGTGCTGATAAGTCGCAAAAGTGGTTGTCTATGAAAGTTTTCGATATTACACTGACACAATTGTAAGGCTATCCGTAAATTACATCGGTGTTCCAGTTCATCTTACTCCTAATATTTTAAATTGTCTATTTTGTATTTTCAGATTCTGAATTACGGTTGGTTCCTGCTTTCTGAAAACGTCCCGGTTGCCTTGCAAGAGGTGTCAGAACACGCGGACAGCCTCGATGAACACACGTTAACCCGGAACATTGAAATTGGAGTATAACATATATGCACCTGTTACCGATATTTTCCTCCTTTTCAAAATAAAACGATTTCCCCCAACTATATTGATGTATCCACAATGGTTGTCTATTTTCTTAATTAAGATATGACTTTTGTATTAACTGCATACGTTTATACATTGATGTATGAACAATGTCGTTCAGTGATATTCTAACAACATGGAATTCGCCAGCAATGTCCTAATTGTTGATAACATTCATTTTTTATCCACTTTGTTATAAGTTTTCATAATACGACGATGACCGCAAAAGGGATCCTTCATGAACACGTAATGCGTGATGATGTAGGTCAGACCTGTTGCATTGAGACTGATGAATAACCAAATACATGTAGAGTCACGATGACTGCAGCACTCATCAAGTATCTGGCACCACATTAGATCTCTAAGGAAACCGTGCTCATGGGAATCTCCGTTGGGACAAGTTCTTTGACACCGTAATATACTATTATCACGCTAATACCACACAGCTGACAGCGGGAGCCCTGGACACATCACGTGGCCGTCAAACATTCATATGAGTCAGACCCAAACATCCTCCTCCAATCACCTGATGAAATTTGTGATGGTGGTTGGTTTTGGGACAGTCGAACAGGTGCATTTCAGTTCGGTCAACACTTTAGTTCATGATACCCTATCTTTCTAAGAGTACATGAGAAGATATCTAACGAAACACGCTCACTAAATTTTATTTCTTATCGCTGCCAGTGCATTAAACCAACTAACTAACACCAACACGCAATGCAACACTAGTTCAACAACCAACTGAAGTCAAATGGTTTCGCTCGTGTGACACTGATAATTCTCCTCAAACGTCTCCATCGCGTCGGGCTGTCGTCCCACATCACAATACACTCCATGATATCACATAAGTACTGTTTAAAGATGAAGGTTTGAATATTATAGATAGATCCGCTCATTCACTCACTCACTCACACATTCACTTATGTCTTTCGAGATTCTTTGGAGGATAACATTCCACTGGATACATATTTTGTTATCCTGTTTATTTTTCCATCACAGGGGATACATATTTCAGTGTAAAAACGGCTAAGGATCTCTATAATAGTGTTAACTGTCATTTAATTATTTGATTTTTAAAAGAAATAGATTTGATTGATAAATTTTGATTGATATGTTTTGTAGACAGGTGTGTTTTTTTAGTATTAGTGGTTTAAATTAGAAACTGAGATTGTGAGTGATTGTATCCTCAGAGGGGATAGAAGCATGTAACACTATTGTCAACCTGAGAGGAAAAGTCAGTCCCAAAACATTCGAACAAAATTGTCCTAATTTGAAATACAATTTTAGAGATATATGCCAGTTTTAATTCTTGATACTGTGATGTTATAGTTGATTTTACTGTCTTTCGTCGACAGTTTCTTTTCTTAAATTTATGCATTGTCATGAATTCATAACTATTTGTAGTCACGACATGGTCGAAATACTGCCGCTGTGACTATAAACGTTACCTCACTCACTCACTATACCCAGTTTCATCAAGATTCGTGGACCAAACCTTGTGGAACATCTCTCAATAGTACGCCTAAGCGTTTATAAAACTTCACATTTGTGGGCCTAACTTTGTATAAGACTTCACATTAGTGGGTCTATCCGTTTATAACACCTCACAATAGTGGGCTTAATCTTCTATAACACCTCACAATAGTGGGCTTAACCTTTTATAAAACCTCGCGTTAGTGGGCCTAACCCTTTATATAACTTTACGTTAGTGTGCCTACACTTATAAAACTTCACATTTGTGGGTTTATCCGTTAATAACACCTCACAATAGTGGGTTTAACCTTTTATAAGAAATCACAATAGTGGGCCTAACCTTTTACAACACCTCACATTAGTGTGTCTAACCTTCTGGAACACCTCACATTAGTGTGTCTAACCTTCTGGAACACCTCACATTAGTGTGTCTAACCTTCTAGAACACCTCACATTAGTGTGTCTCACCTTCTGGAACACCTCACATTAGTGTGTCTAACCTTCTGGAACACCTCACATTAGGGCACCTAACCTTCTGGAACACCTCACATTAGGGGACCTAACCTTCTGGAACCTTCTGGATTACACCTAACCGTCACGTTCACGTTAGGGGACCTAACCTTCTGGAACACCTCACATTAGGAGGACCTAACCTTCTGGAACACCTCACATTAGAGGACCTAACCTTCTGGAACACCTCACATTAGGGGACCTAACCTTCTGGAACACCTCACATTAGGGGACCTAACCGTCTGGAACACCTCACATTAGAGGACCTAACCTTCTGGAACACCTCACATTAGGGCACCTAACCTTCTGGAACACCTCACATTAGGGGACCTAACCTTCTGGAACACCTCACATTAGAGGACCTAACCTTCTGGAACACCTCACATTAGAGGACCTAACCTTCTGGAACACCTCACGTTAGGGGACCTAACCTTCTGGAACACCTCACATTAGGGCACCTAACCGTCTGGAACACCTCACATTAGAGGACCTAACCTTCTGGAACACCTCACATTAGGGCACCTAACCTTCTGGAACACCTCACATTAGGGCACCTAACCTTCTGGAACACCTCACATTAGAGGACCTAACCTTCTGGAACACCTCACATTAGGGGACCTAACCTTCTGGAACACCTCACATTAGGGGACCTAACCTTCTGGAACACCTCACATGAGGGCACATAACCTTCTAGAGCATCGATCTACACAGTTGGGATACGATGACAAGTGTCAACCAAGTCAGCGAGCCTGGCCGTTCTATCACCTTAGTCGCCTCTTACAACAAGCATGGGTTACTGAAAATCAATTCTATTCAATTAACGGGTCTATTATTATGGTAATCAGCCGCAGAGTATTTCAAACGCGTTTGACGCCAACAAAATGTATTTTTGAAATGCGTAAAATAATATTGTCAGATTTTCTTTTAATCAATATGGACTTTTGAAACACCCGTTTTGTCTTCAATGATACAGGCTTTTTGGGGAATCACACTTTCTCGTCAAGAAACATGTTTAGAAAAACGTTGGAGATCACAGTAACATCATTTTTATGAATACGAAGAGTGCACCTAAAGCTTCGTATACCAAATTGTTAGTCCAATTATATTTAAGAGGGGTCATAGCGAAAGGCCATTGTCAGTTGTTATTATTATCTTATCATTATATCACTCCAATTTTAGGACATAATTCTTGCTATACAATGTTAGGGTCATATATAAAGTCAGATTGCCAGCATGACATTTTTACATCGATGAAGTATTAAACCAGAAAAGTGTATGCTTCCCATTATACGTGAGATACATGTACGTTTTATCGACGATCGTATGGCTGTATTATTTCCCTTGTGCTACAATTTGGATTGTTTGCGATTTGATTATCTCAACTATAAGTCAAGTGAAAACATCTCAATGCACGGAAGACTGATATCCAAACATTATAAGCTGTACAATGTCAATGTTGTTTCATTAGTGAATGCGTTGGTTTCTATTAAATGTGTTTCAGTTGCTCCAACATTGTTAATTGTTAAACGATCGACAAAAGTCTGCTTATGCGTGTCGATTTCCGAATTCAAACATCAAGTTAAGACAGATATGTTAGTATGTAAAAGAACTTAGAGTGTGTGAGTTTGGTTTTACGCCGCACTTACCAATATTCCAGCTATATGGCGGCGGTCTGTAAATCATCGAGTCTGTAACAGACAATCCAGGCATCAACAGCATGAACATCGATCTACGCAAGGGGGATACGATGACATGTGTCAACCAAGACATCGAGCCTGACCACGCGATCCCGTAAGTCGCCTTTAACGACAAGCATGGGTTACTGCAAATTCATTCTAACCCGGACCTTCGCGAGTCAAAGAACTTAGAGGGAAACTAACATAAATGTTAATGTACAATTAACAACTGTATTATAAATTTAGCCAGGCTTACACAACAATACAAAATACTGCAAAGCAATTACAGGCCCAGTATAAAGATGAGTTTCAGTAGAGTGATAATAGCAGGGCCCCGTTCCTCAAAGTGATCGTAGCGCTACGACAGTCGTAAGTCTATGTTAAAGTATGGGAGTTACGATCAACTTAGCGCAACGACAGTCGTAAGTCTATGTTAAAGTATGGGAGTTACGATCAACTTAGCGCTACGACAGTCGTAAGTCTATGTTAAAGTATGGGAGTTACGATCATCTTAGCGCTACGACAGTCGTAAGTCTATGTTAAAGTATGGGAGTTACGATCAACTTAACGCTACGACAGTCGTAAGTCTATGTTAAAGTATGGGAGTTACGATCAACTTAGTGCTACGACAGTCGTAAGTCTATGTTAAAGTATGGGAGTTACGATCAACTTAGCGCTGCGACAGTCGTAAGTCTATGTTAAAGTATGGGAGTTACGATCAACTTAGCGCTACGACAGTCGTAAGTCTATGTTAAAGTATGGGAGTGACGATCATCTTAGCGCTACGATCGCTTTGAGGAACAGGGACCTGCAACACAGAGTATCTGTTCCAAAACAGGCATAGGCTATATATAAATGGTGAAAAAATAATAATGAAAATAATGTCGCATGTCATCTGCAGGTTCAGAATAAGACGGGGCGGTGGGGTAGCCGAATGTTTAAAGCGTTGGCTTGTCACGCCGAAGACCCGGGTTTGAATCCCCACATGGGTACAATGTGTGAAGCCCATTTCTGGTGTCCCCTGCCGTGATGTTGCTGGAATATTGCTAAAAGCGGCGTAAAACCAAACTCAGTCAGTCAGTCAGTCAGAATAAGACGCTACTAGAGAATTCTCCAATGTACGGGATGAAATTATGCTAGTATAATCAGTACTGTTCTAGAAATTTACACACTGCATTTGACGCCTAAATATGGCAGCTAGCCCTCTGCCCTCTACTCTATTTTAACAGAAACACTGTATAACAATAACAACGCTGTTTTGCAATGAATAACGGTATTTGCCTTCTTCTCTTTCTTGGTATCCATGCCTCACCTATAAGTTTAAATTTCCTAATTTTCACGCAAGGTAACCAGAACAGAAAAGGCTACAGCTGACCTTTCGCCAGCGCACACGCCAGCTGGAGATTCAGGATGCGTTATTACATACACGTTCTCGGTATTTTTTATTCCGCTACTACAACATTTCCCACGGGATAAATGACCCGGAGCAATCCCACGCTTATAATAACTGCCGGATTATGCTTTAAAAATGACTAGGACTGTGTTCACGGTATATAAATACAGGATGTCGGTACTTTGTGTTCTGTTTGCGCCACAGTTAAGTGGTGTTACGTTCCTGTGCGACTGATAGTTTTCTCTGTTGTGAGAACCGCAGCTAAACATATTGTCACACTACAGGTCGGGAACAAGAAGTGCTTCTGTAACAGCCATGACTCTACCACGAATCCTCATCCTGCTTTTCATCACAGGTAGGTTCGTGTGACGTTCATTACTAATTAATATGTAGGCAAACACAATTTTTATAACGACTTGTTCAAGCCTTGCTTTTTATACGTGTCCGTTGGAAAATCTTCGGATAAAATGTTTAGCTTTGGCAATAATGGTAAACCATGGTCCACGTTGAAAAACACAGAAAATTGCCTTGTTCAAGAAGTATATGCCCATATTTAATGACAACTAATAAATTTACAAACATAATACATGATTAGCATCAAATAAGGGCATTGTAGTTGTGTTTTCAAATTTTCATAGTTTGAGTCTCGCCAAAGTTTGCAATTTTTGGCCAACTCCAAGTTCCAAATGTAAACGTTACCAATGCTGTGGTATATAGAATCTTTCACCAGACACCCACATTCTTGTTACTAGTACCAATACATACGACCATTGCCATGGACTGTTCACCTGAATCAACGACGGGTTTGATCAAAGAACAGTTTGTTCTGGTGCATGATTCTTCCGGTTATCATTGTTGTGAGATGGGTGTTCGACGGTTTAAAACTCCCAAGGCTGCATCATCACTGTAAGCCTTCCAACCACATTTAGCTGACACGCGGTGATTTCCCTGTGTTCACGTCGTTACTCATTTCTCAGGGCCGTGCTGGAATATTGCTCAAAGCGGTATAAAGCCATGCTCAATCACCTTCAAATGCTGATCTGATGGAATTGACGCCATTTTTTTCAATTTACAACTACTGATATATGTAAGCAAATTTACTTTTACTATGTTTTGGTGTGAAGTGTGTAGAGTGATGTATGCTGCTGACACCTGTGTTTTGGTGTGTAGTTGCAGCAGCATCGCGACACCTACAGAAGAGAGACTGGGTTCCTTCCAGCGACTGGGCTCGGTGTGCGGAGCTTGAGCAGCAGGCGCTAGGCAACCTCACCAGTATGAGGCTGATAATGCGAGGCGACGGTTTCACCACTTTGGTTACCAATGGTACCCTGAATCTAGACTGCTCGTAAGTTGAAGTGTTGTGATGTTGCTGATTGTTTCTCCTTCCATGACGTGTATAATATGCTCACAAGGGATAGCACCCTTCCCCTACTTCCCAAATCCGAACACACTGGTACCCCCTCCCGTACCCACAATCCCAACACACTGGCGCCCATTCCCTTACCTCCCAAATCCGAACACACGGGCACAACCTTCTCTACCTCTCCAATCCGAGCACACTGGTACCCCCTCCCGTACCCCCAATCCGAACACACTGGCACCCCCTCCTCTACCTCTCCAATCCGAACACACTGGCACCCGCTCCCCTACCTCCCCAACTCGAACACACTGGCATCCGCTTCCCTACCTCCCCAATTCGAACACACTGGCACCCCCTTCCCTACCCACAATCCCGAACAAACTGGCACCCTTCCCCTACCACCAATCCGAACACACTGGCACCCTCCCTTTTACCTCCCCGATTCGAACACACTGGCGCCCTCCACCTACCTTAATCTGAACACACTGGCACTCTCCCTACCCCCAATCCAAACACACTGGCACCCCCTACCTCCAATCCGAACACACTGGCGCCCTCCACCTACCCTAATCCGAACACACTGGCACCCCCCACACACACACACACCCACCTGAACACAGTGGCACCCCTCCCTACCCCCTAATCCGAACATACGCGCACCCCTCCTCTCCCCCAATCCGAACACACTGGCGCCCCTTACCTACCCCCAATCCGGACACACTGTCTACCCCCCTACCCCCAATCCGAAAACACTGGCACCCCTCTCCTACCCCCAATCCGACTATACGCACCCCTCCTCTACCCCCACCCGAACACACTGGCACCCGGACCCCTACCTCCCCAATACGAACACATTGGCACCCTCCCCTACCCCCAATCCGAACAAACTGGCACCCCTTCCCCCTACCTCCAATCCGAACACACTGGTACCCCCCCTTCCTCCCCAATTCGAACACACTGGCACCCTCTCCTATACCTCACCACCTGGAACACACTGGCACCCCCCCCCTACCTCCCCCCACCTGAACACACTGGTAACCCTCCCCTACCTCCCACCCTGAACACACCACTGGCACCAGCCCCCTACCTCCCCTGAATTCAGAACACACTGGCACCAGCTCCCCTACCTCCCAATTCGAACACACTGGCATCCCCTCCACTACCCCAATCCGAACACACCGGTACCCCTCCTTCCACCTCACCTTCGAACACTGACACCCCGTCCCCTACCTCCCAAATTCCACACTGGCACCCTCTCGCCTACCTCCCCAATCTGAACACACCCTGGCACCCCTCCCTTCCTCCCCACTCCGAACACACTCCGCACCTCTCCCCACCTCCCCACCCGAACACACCTGGCACCCTCTCCCTACCTTCCCACCCGAACACACCCGCACCCTCTCCCCTACCTCCCCACCTGGAACACACTCCCACCCTCTCCCCACCTCCCCACCTCGAACACCCCTCCCCACCCTACCTCCCTACCCCGAACACCCCTCCCCCCTCCCCCACCTCCCCCACCACACCACCAGCACCCGCCCCTACCTCGCCACCCGAACACCACTGGTACCGTCTCCCCACTCTCCCAATGCGACACACTGCAACCCTCCCCTCCCCAATCCCATCCGCCACCCCTCCCCTTGAAATCCGAACACACCTCACCCTCCCTACCTCCCCACCTGAACTGACCCGAACAACACACTGTCACCCCTCTCCTCCTACCCCCCACGAACACACTCGCACCCTCCCCTACCCCCCAATCCGGAACAAACCACTCTGACCCCTCCCCTACCTCCAACTGGACCACACCTGTACCCTCCCTTCCTCCCCCACCTGAACACACTGGCACCCCTCCCCCTACTCCCCACCCGAACACACCCGCACCCTCTCCCTACCCCTCCCCACCACCACTGCACACCCTGCCCTACCCCGTCGAACACCACTGTAACCCTCCACTACCTCCCACTGTAACATACTGCACCCGCCCCTACCTCCCCCACCCGAACACACTGGCACCCCACCTCCTGCACCCCCAATCCAAACCCAAGTCACACACATCCCTCCACTCACCCCCAATCCCCTGCACCCTCCCCACCAACCCTCAAATCACCACCACACCCTGTCCCTCCCCACCCGCAATCCCCAGCACCCTCCCTTACCCCCACCCGAACACACTGGCACCCGTTCCCTTTCCCTCCCCACCCAACACACCACCCCCACCCCTCCCCTTACCCTCCCCATCTCGAACACACACCCGCACCCTCTCCCTCACCCCCCCCACCCGAACACACCCCGCACCCTCCCCTACACCCCTACCTCCCCAACCGGAACACACCGCACCCTCTCCCCCTCACCTCTCACCACCCGAACACACCTCGGCACCCCCTGCCCCCACTCCCCCACCCTGAACACCTTCCCCACCTCCCCCCCCGAACACACCGGCACCAGCTCCCCACCCCTGAATTCCGAACACACTGCATCCCTCCACTACCCCCCAATCCGAACACACAGGTACTACCCTCCCCTTCCACCCCACCCGAACACTGACACCCGTCCCCTACCTCCCCTGACCTCGAAACACACCCGGCACCCTCTCGCCCACCCCCACCTGAACACACTGCACCCCTTCCCTTCCTCCCACCTGAAAACACTCCCGCCCCTCTCCCCTACCTCACCACCCGAACACACCCGCACCCCTGCCCTACCTCCCCCAATTCAATACACTGCAACCCTTCCCCTACCTTCCCACCTGAACACACCCGGCACCAGCTCCCCTACCTCCCGGATCTCCGACACACACTGGCATCCCTCCACTCACCCCCAATCCTGAACCTCACTGGTACCCCTCCCCTTCCACCTCACCCGAACACCGACACCCGTCCCTACCTCCCAAATTGGAACACCTGGCACCCCTCGCCTACCCCCACCCGGACACACACCAGCACCCCCTTCCCTTTCCTCCCCACCCGAACACACCTCAAAACCCTCTCCCCACCCTCCCCACCTGAACACACAGGCACCTCCCCCTACCTCCCCCACCCGAAACACCTGGCACCCTCTCCCCTACTCCCCACCCGGAACACACCCTGCACCCTCCCCTCCTCCTCACCTGAACACACTGGCACCCCGTCTCCCCTACCTCCCCACCTCGAACACACAGGCACCTCTCCCCTACCTCCCCAATTCAGAACACACCTGGCACCCTCTCCCTACCTCCTGAATTCGAACAGACTGGCATCCTCCCAGTACCCTAATCCGGAACACACTGGTACCGCCCTTCCACCTCACCTGAACACTGACACCCCTGTCCCTACCCCCAAATTCCCACACTCCCCCTCTCCCTACCTCCCCAATGCGAACACACTGGCAACCCCTCCCTTACCCCCAATCCGAACATACGCGCACCCTCCTCTACCTCCCCACCTCGAACTGACTGGCACCGTCTCCCCTACCTCCCACCTCAGACACACTGGTACTGTCTCCCCCACCTCCCCAATGCGAACACACTGGCAACCCCTCCCTTACCCCCAATCCGAACATACGCGCACCCCCTCCTCTACCCCCTATTCCGAACAAACTCCCCCTCCTCCTACCCCCCCACCTGAACTGACTGGCACCCGCTCCCTACCTCCCCAATTCGAACACACTCGCACCCGGACCCCTACCTCCCCAATACGAACAAACTGGCACCCTCCCCTACCCCCAATCCGAACAAACTGGCACCCCTTCCCCTACCTCTCCAATCCGAAACACACTGGTACCCTCTTCCTTCCTCCCCACCTGAACACACTGGCACCCCCTGCCCCTTACTCCCCACCTGAACACACTGGCACCCTCTCCCTACTACCTCCCCACCTCGAATACACTGGCACCCCTGCCCCTACCTCTCCCTAAGTCGAACACACTGGTAACCCTCTCACTACCTCCCCAATTGTAATATGCTGGCGCTCGCTCCCCTACCTCCCCAAATCGAACACACACTGGCACCACTTCCTCTACCCCCAATCCAAACACACTGGCATCCCCTCCACTACCCCCAATCAGAGCACACTGGTACCCTCCCCTACCTCCCCACCTCGACACACTGGCACCCTCTCCCTACCTCCCCACCTCGAACACACTGGCACCCTCTCACCCTACCTCCCCACCTCGAACACACTGGCAACCCTCCCCCTTACCCCCCAATCCAAACACACACTCACCCCTCTCTCTACCTCCCCAATCCGAACACACTGGCACCCTCCCCTTCCTCTCCCAATTCGAACACACTGGCACCCCCGCCCCTACTCCCCAATTCGAACACACTGGCACCCTCTCCCCTACCTCCCCAATCCGAACACACTGGCACCGTCTCCCCGTTGTGACAAAAGGAACCAAATCACCACAATCTACAACCTACTGATGCATCCCTGTGAACCCACAACACTGTCACTGAAGGAAAAGTCATGTTGTCGGTTCTACTCTTTAATTATGTCTAGTAAAAAGTGTTTTAAGAAGTCAGGCTGGCGAAATGCAATCTGAAGAGTTAGTTATATTCGTGTTATTCAGGTTGCAAATGCGAAAGTTCTAAAGGAGAATACAATTAATAGTAAGTGTTCAAATCATTTTATAGCCTATATATTTACAACATAATATGACTTTTTTCGTACTGTTTATGACCTCTTATCAACAACGCTGCAAGTGACATAAACCTGTCTCATACATTCTAACCTTCAACTGAACTCAAGCTGTGAAACTTTAAACACATTATCCCTGAAATTGAAATACATTATCTGCTACAAGATTGCTCCTTGTATTGTGTTAGATGTAAAATCTCTTGGTTCTTCAATCTAAGACTGGCTAGTAAACAATTCATTAATTTACTAACTAGCCCGGCTGAGTGTTACTGTTGGAAAATCATGTCATATACTGCGGAGAAGCCCCTTTTATACGAGTGAATTAGCTGACTAGATACCACCGCCCTCGCTCTTCTCTCAACCTTTTATATTTATCGAAAGTGATGGAGGATGTGGTTTGATAAACGTTGAGTCTAGCTCTGGCTAATCTGTACTAATTTCTACAATGATCCCCTTGTGAGGCATATCAAAATATAGTATTGATGTTGCACAGGTTTTATATACGAGCCAAGCTTGATAATACTTGACAATATAGCAATGCCAATGCTGATTTTATTGATGGGTCTGTACACATGGAAAGGTTGTGTAGGGATTCTACATATTCTCATAACAGATCTTGGGGGGTTCAAAATGGCAACGCTTCCAATTACCCCCCTCAGCTGCATGTAACGGGGACAACGACCCTGATCTGGTGATGAACATCACCTGCTTGTCTGGATCACCTGAATTCCTCCATACACATATCTTAATCTGTATGTAATAATAACAAGTTATCGTTATTGTCATACGCAATATTTTCAGATCAGCGACATTGGAAGGGAACAGAAAATTGAGTGATGAGGCTTGGGATGTGTGCGTGAGTAGCACGGACACAGATATTACCATCTTCACCAGCGGTTACAGCCACATCTGCAACAATCAAGAAGGTAGGGATCATAAACACAAATCATTCAAAACTGACCCATGTATTATGTCATCAACAAATAAACATGCAAGAAATGATATTTGCAAATAAACGATATTGTTAAATAGATTTTAATAAAGATATGCTCATTTTGAAACTGAAAAAGTATGGAATTTTAAGATTTTCATTTGGCTCTATTTGGGAGTGAGTGAGTTAGTTAAGATTCAGTTATTATGCCACCTCGTGACTCCCTATGTTGGAAATGCAGGGATGGGTGTACAATATATCAGAAGGATCAACATAGATATTGCGGTTGGAAGCAGCTTTAATCGTGCTTAGACTGCGAAAATGTACCAATATGTACCCAAATCGAAAGCTTCATTTATCGAAACAGGTTAGGAACGAAATGTCTGTCGTTTGAATATAATGTTTCACAACAGAGGCCCATCGCACTTCAAATTTTGTTTTACTAAATTCGGCTGTTTCCAAAACTAAGTATGCAGTGAGAAATCCGGACAGTATTGACTGAAACCTTTAGATGATTCTTGTTTTCCTATAAGATGTAAACTGTGGAAAGCTATACTGATAAGAGTAAAAGAACGTTTAATTGAACAGACCATTTTATTAGTATGACCAGAAATTATTGAGAATTTTAGGAATACGTTTAATTGGATTTCTAGTATAAACAACCTTGACCAGCTATCAAGTGTGTGGTTTCATTCAAGATTCATTCCGTTAATCCTTTTTCATTAGTTTGTGAAGACTTATCCCCGTGTGTTTACTTGATAGCAGACGACATTTTCAGTGATCCTCAGTATGGATGATTTAGAGAAGAGGAAGTTGATTTTAGAGTATTATAACAAGGACGTCAGATCAGCTAAAGTGATTTCAAGTAGAACAGGCATCCCTTTGTCCACTGTTTATCGTGTTTTGAAAAATATTGCAAATGGATATGGCATTGAGCACCAGGGAGGCGCAGGTAGGCCCAGACAATTGACTGTCGGTGACAGGAGGCGGCTTGGTATTCTTGTTTCTAAAAACAAACGATGGTGTTTAGAAAACTTAAGGCTGGATATGATTAATAAAGGAACTGTGGCTGTCTGTAAGGAAACAATTAGAACTGAGCTGCATGCAATGGGTTGGCAGAAAATTCCATCACACATCATGAAACCTGAACAAAAGGAGCAAAGGTTGAACTAGTGCTTACAACATTGAAATTATAACTGGGACAATGTGATCTTCTCAGATGAAAATTCTGTGTGGCTGTTTCCTAAAACACTGAAATTCTGGACCAAACAAACTGAAAAACCTTTGTATCCGCGCCCAAAGTACAGTCCGAAATTTAACGTGTGGGATGGCATATCTGTTTTAAGGGCAACGCCCCTCTGTGTATTTGAAGGGAATATGAACAGTGAGCGGTACCCAGATATTCTCGAGGGACATTTACTTCCGTCTGCTCACGTGTTCTAGGGAAATGTTTTGATTTTCCAGCAGGACAACGACCCAAAACATCGTTCAAAGCATTCACAGGCCTTGTTTCGGACCCAAAATATGACATTATTAGATTGGCCAAGCTATAGCCCTGACCTAAATCCAATAGAAAATGTTTGGGGACTTATGAAGGAAAGTGTCAATAAGACAAATCTGACAAATATTGGGACAGCATGGACCACGACTTTCTAACTTCTTTGATCAGTAGTATGCCCCGCCGCACTGAAGCCAGCTGCAGCATTGCTGCCCATGGTGACTTGACAAAATACTAACTGTTCACCTGTATTGGAATCTGGAGTTATGTTCTGCTAATATTCACATTTAATACGTGAGTAATGAGTGAAAAAAATACAAAAAAATACAATCTTTAAATTCTCAATAATTTCTGGTTGTACTATAAAAAAATTGTAAATCAAGATCATCCTAAGACCCATCGCACTTGTTTATTGCTGAGGCATAAGGTTAGTCAGTTCAAAAATGAATTAAGGAAACTTGCAATTAAAACGAATCTGAACTTTGTGAGGTTGTAAAAGTGGAAATGCGTATTCTAATTTAACAGATCATTTAAACAAATGTTAATCGAAATCGCTCAAAAAGATCATGAAAACATGAAATGCACATTATTATTTTCAATGTGAATTGTTAAAAGTTGACAGATACAGTTTAAATAATTCACCGTATAGTCCCAAATACACCAGTCAGTTGCGCAATTTGATATTGAGTGGAAATGGAGACGTACCAGCACAGGTAACCACTCTTCTTTCAAATATGTACATATATATATGTAATACAATTAGATGTTCATATTGTTCCCACTGTTCTTCTCTCTTTCCATTTCTTTTCTTTAAATGTATGTTCACTTGTGTAAATACCAGGGAAAATGTGTTCACAGTCTGGTGTCCCATACTCCTTTTATGAATAAGTTTTCACCACTCATGACAAGCAACCCCATACATTTTCCCTACACGTGTACTGTTTTATACTTAGCTTCAATCCCCGCACAGAATCGTCATGATATGGCATGACAATGCTTTTCCTACATTGTGTTTTAAGCCTTCATCCAGTCGGAGGCCTGTCTGAGCAGCGGTGCCCCAGTAGAGGCGAGACGTAGTTGTCACATCGACACCACAGATTATGAAAGAAGATGCCGGTAAGACGTAGTACCACCTTGCTCTATTCAACCCGTGAGAATAACCTGTCTTGATCATCTTACGAAACAAATATCAGATTGAATCACGCAGGCGATGCACGATGTTTATTGTTGCGTGCTAAATTAACTGACAAACTGACAACAATCGTCTATCTAACAGACAGATATACTCAGCTGTGAAAGAGAGGTCGTTTTATGACCGTGAGTAAAGCTGAAGTGTTTTTTAAAAAATATATCACTCGCTTCAGCAGTATGCGGCTAAGGGCAGTCAAGACAGTCTCCACATAAGACTTACAGTTAGTCTATTCGTCTGCATAATTTTAACAGATTTAAAAAGAGTTCAAATGAGAAATAAGATTTCCTGAAAATGACAAATTCTACACTTGCTTCATTTAGGCCTTTAGCATTGCAGAAATGGGTGGGCGGAAGGGTACAATAATTCGCTTCAGGGACTGTGGGACAGACAGCCTCCACTTAAACAATGACATAACTGTGATGTTTCACTGGTTCCTCATTAAGACATAATACGGTGGTTTGGTGTCGATATGTTATAACGTTGAGCATTAGAAACAGAATAAGTTGAAAAGGAAAAGGTTTAGGTGCTATTCACAGACATATGCCAGTGATCAGCTGGATCTGTAGAATACTATGCAAATACAAGACGGCAAGCTGCTACTGAATACCTTGAAATTAAAGATAAATATTTTTTGTAACAAAAGGATGTTTGTAACTAGGAAGGGATAAGCCATTGAGGACAAAATGAGAGTTATTGTTCCTGTCTGAAAATTTATTATTTTTTGCTTTTGCCAATGGGGTTTTGAACTATTTTAATAAGATTGACAAACGGTGATAGCGAATGCGTTTCACAGTATCGATTCTGATAGAGCAGGTTACATACAATCATTTTGTGTAAACTGAGCACCATATAAGAAGTGTTGCTTGTCAGTGGAGTGGGTAAGACGCCATGAGAATGCCAACGTCTCTTCATAATCGCGTTGGCGTTACTTATTTCATTGTTTTCATTGATGTTTTTATATAACATATTTACTTCAAGCCGAAAGACGTAAACTCTCGGGTCAGAAGTGATCCTGGGCAACCCATGCATGCCATTGTATTATGGGAGTAGACTGATGCTAAATGATCTCTTATTCAGTGAAGAACCTGTTTGCAATGAAAACAACCTCCAACTCAGAAGTGAGTGTTCCGGACAAATAGCATCTCTTCTACGACACATGGCTGCCATTGAGTTCGGGCCCTTCATGGACGTCAATTACTGTATTTACCGAGTGTAAGTAGCAACACGGGTCTGCAGTAGTCTTGTGTACGTTGAGTTCGGGCCCTTCATGGGCGACAACTGTATTTACCGAGTGTAAGTAGCAACACGGGTCTGCAGTAGTCTTGTGTACGTTGAGTTCGGGCCCTTCATGGACGACAACTGTATTTACCGAGTGTAAGTAGCAACACGGGTCTGCAGTAGTCCTGTGTACATTGAGTTCGGGCCCTTCATGGACGACAACTGTATTTACCGAGTGTAAGTAGCAACACGGGTCTGCAGTAGTCTTGTGTACGTTGAGTTCGGGCCCTTCATGGACGACAACTGTATTTACCGAGTGTAAGTAGCAACACGGGCCTGCAGTAGTCTTGTGTACATTGAGTTCGGGCCCTTCATGGACGACAACTGTATTTACCGAGTGTAAGTAGCAACACGGGCCCGCAGTAGTCTTGTGTACATTGAGTTCGGGCCCTTCATGGATGACAACTGTATTTACCGACTGTAAGTAACAACACGGGTCTGCAGTAGTCTTGTGTACGTTGAGTTCGGGCCCTTCATGGACGACAACTGTATTTACCGAGTGTAAGTAGCAACACGGGCCTGCAGTAGTCCTGTGTACATTGAGTTCGGGCCCTTCATGGACGACAACTGTATTTACCGAGTGTAAGTAACAACACGGGTCTGCAGTAGTCCTGTGTACATTGAGTTCGGGCCCTTCATGGACGACAACTGTATTTACCGATGGACGTAGCAACACGGGTCTGCAGTATTTACCGTACGTAAGTTCGGGCTCTTCATGGACGACAACAACACGGGTCTGCAGTAGTCCTGTGTACATTGAGTTCGGGCCCTTCATGGACGACAACTGTATTTACCGAGTGTAAGTAGCAACACGGGCCTGCAGTAGTCCTGTGTACATTGAGTTCGGGCCCTTCATGGACGACAACTGTATTTACCGAGTGTAAGTAGCAACACGGGTCTGCAGTAGTCCTGTGTACATTGAGTTCGGGCCCTTCATGGACGACAACTGTATTTACCGAGTGTAAGTAGCAACACGGGACTGCAGTAATCCTGTGTACATTGAGTTCGGGCCCTTCATGGACGACAACTGTATTAACCGAGTGTAAGTAGCAACACGGGACTGCAGTAGTCCTGTGTACATTGAGTTCGGGCCCTTCATGGACGACAACTCTGTTTACAATAAGAAATACATGTTTTCACCTGCAAACCCTCAGGCCTACCTAGGGTTATATATACCAACCCTGACCACGTGAATGACAATGAGAGAACAAATGTACAACTAATTATGCAACTTGTGCAATGAAATTAGTATGTACATATGAAATTAAATTGTTATTTTTATGGCGATCGGGTTGCTTGGCTTTGGAAAACCTTTTTAAAAATAATATAGATGGAGCAGGATCGAGCTGGCCTGGGTTTATTACGAATGTGCAAGGGGAGAGTATTCGTTATTGAATCATGGCATAAATTCCCACCACCTGGGGGAACTTTAGACATGGCATTGTCATTAGATTTCACGTCGGGATGAAAATTCTGGGCAGGCAGTGGATGGGAAACACCTTACCTCATGAACTCTGATTATGCACACAATGTGTTCGTTTCACGCCGTAGTATGTGTGCCTTATTCAAGCCTTATTCTAATAAATTTCATTTAGTTGTTTCTCGAAGTTGGGAAGTACAATATTCTTGCTTGACCACACTACAAGTATCTGTATTGAAACGTCGCACTCACGAAATAAAAGAGGTTGTTGTCAATATTACACTGAGAGACCGCCATATAGCTGGAATATTGCTGAGTGCGGCGTAAAACTAAAAAACTAAAACACTGAGAGACCATCCGCTCAATTGTAGATTACATCATTGTTCCAGTTTATTTTTCATTTTCGCATAATATTGCAGTGGGTTCTTTTTTCGTTTTCAGATTCTGAATCACCATTGGTTTCAGTTTTTTCCCCGAAAACGTTCCGATTGTCTTGGCAAAGCTATCTGTACACGTCTACCGACACGAATAACACAAGTCAACCCAGAGCATTTGGAACTACATGTAGTTGTATAACATACACGCACGTTCCTCTTTGCAGAATATACCCTTTTCTCAACACTTTATGGTTGTTCCTTGTTAGTGGAATTCCTGTTTCACAATGGTTTCACAAAACTTTCTTCACGAACTTATGACTTTTGTATTTTCTGGATACGTTTATACTTTGATGGGTGGACAATGACATCCAACGACATGTACAGCTGTCTGGTTTACTGAACTCTTTAACATCAGTGAGTGAGTGAGTTTGGTTTTACGCCGCTTTTAGCAATATTCCAGCAATATCACGGCGGGGGACACCAGAAATGAGCTTCACACATTGTACCCATGTGGGGAATCGAACCCGGGTCTTCGGCGTGACGAGCGAACGCTTTAACCATCAGGCTACCCCACCGCCCATATTTAACATCAGGAACTTCGCGATCAATGTCCTGAATTTTCATAATAGAAATGTCCTATTCACTTTGTTATAAGTGTGTTATAAGTTGTCTAATACGACGCTGACCGCACAATGGATCCGTTCATGAACACGTAATGCTTGATGTTGGAGGTCAAACCTAATGCCTAGAGATTGATGAATAACCAAATACACTTAGTGAGTGACTTTAGTTTTACGCCACATTCAGCAATATTCCAGCAATTTGGCGGCGGTCTGGAAATTATCGGGTCTGGACCAAACAATTCAGTGATTAGCAATGGGTTGCACGAAGTCTATCAATCAGCTTACCGCTGCTCCCACAGCACGGACACGGCACTTGTCAAAGTCCAGAGCGACATACTCATTTCTCATACTTCCATTCTTGTTTTGTTGGACCTTGCGGCCGCTTTCGACACGACTGACCACTGTGTTCTTCTAGCCACTCTTGAAGGAAGATTCAATGTCCAAGGCGTCGTGTTAAAGTGGTTCAAGTCCTACATCTCAGACAAGAAAAATCTGTGGTTATTCAAGTTCAAATGTCGCTGCCTAGTGACTTAAGAGTTTGGGATACCACAAGGCTTAGTTCTGGGCCTTTGCTTTTTACTGCCTACATAACCCCTTTTCGCGATATCGTCAGTTACTGAAAACTAAGTCTAACTCGGATCTTCACGGGTCAAATACATGCAGAGTCACGATGGGTGAATCACTGTGCGTGATGATAAACATACTCCACCTGACACATGTCTCATCAAGTATTTATGAGTGACACTCAACTTAAATAAATGGCCTATTTACGAAAACCTTGCTCATGGGAGGTTCCGTCAGGACAAACACCTTGATAACAAAATCCGTATTACCATTACGCTGATACTTCAAAACTGGCATCGGTTGCAGTGTGCTTCGTATTGCAGAATGTTATGTGCGAAAATACGATAAAGCAATCAAAAATCGAGTAAGGATGGTGGTACTTTGAACTAAATAATCCCAAGTATCTAAAATGTTTATGACATTTTGTGATGGTCTAGATAATATCGATAAATATTGACACTATACAGAACATAGCTAACCGAATTGAGCTGCCTGATATGAAGTTTTTAATAAGGACAATGGCATGGGCGGTGCGACACTCAAATACATATGTGCGTTTGTATGGAGTTTTTTCTTTGACAATTATGAGGGCATACTTTCGAGATTTTACGTGCGCTTTCCGACATTTTGAGGAACTATGTTTGAAAACAATATGATTATAAACAACTTAGTCAAATCTTAAACATTGTAACTCACTGGAGATATTTTAGTCTGGTGTATCTTGGGGCCGTCATACTTTTTACAGATTATTCATTAATTTAAACTAATTTTGTGTATCTATTTTCGGATTTTCGGCTAAATTACAATTGCCTATTCCGGAAAATTAATGCAATTTTCGATTGTTAAACCGCATGCAGCAATAAATCCAAAACCAAGTGTAGTAAAATGATTTCGATCTTATGACAATTCTCTCCTGGAACCAAGTCACTGAAGACCCGCGTTAGAATTGATTTTCAGTAACCCATGCTTGTCGAGGCGACTGACGGGATCGGGTGGTCGGGCTCGCTAACATGGTTGGTACATGTCATCGTATTCCAATTGCGTAGAACGATGTTCGTGCTGTTGATCGCAGGATTGTCTGATCCATACGCGTTTATTTACAGACCGCCGCCATATTGCTGGAATATCGCTGAGTGCGGCGTTAAACAACAACCAAAACAAACCTAAACCTGGAACCAAACAAAACAAGAACTGAAGTCGCCAACGACTCATTGTGTCATTCACGCGCGCAGTTGAGAACGGAGACAGACCTTTCGCCAAAGCTGCAGAACATCTGTGGAATTAACCTAATGTTTACATTCGGACTTCCCATGCTCGTTGACATCTCAAAATGGTGGATCTCTTATGCAGAACGTTTCACAAACCATCGGAGCAGCTATTCGTTCAAGATAATATTTCGATTTTAGAGCTTATGTGTTACCATTCGTATTATCATCCACAAAATGTATTCAAAACTGCACGTGGGCGCATGTCAGAACTGACAAGTGGCTTGTTTCTTCAATCTCTGTGGAGTCTCGATTATCACATAGACAACCGTCTTTTAACTGTATTTTTCTCAGTTATAAGTTGTCATACTTTAACAATGAATTCAGCAGTTATATACTTTATTCTGACTTACAATCACAGTGATTATTAAGGAAGAGTCATTTGACTCACTACATCAATGCATTCAGTTCTCAATATAAGTTTCGATAATTTAGCAAATGAATTCAGTTGTTATGTGTAATCCCATCCCAATCACCAGTAGCATTATTATTTGGAGAACACATAGTGCACCAGTATGTGTAAATTGTGGCAGATCTGAACACTCAAAAAACACACAGAACGTCAAGCCTCACATATTCCCACACATATAAAGTCCAATATATACTAGGCACATAAAGAAACTGTGCATACAAAAAATTAAAATCTAAATTTATCAAACCTGTGTAGACACATAAGGATTTAAACTTTCGGGAAAAGAGAATTGAGCAAATGAATGCCACACAATACTGTCACTTTGGAAAGCTCAACCCCTGCCCTCGCGATCGTTCAAAACATTAAACGACTATTGAAACGCATAGCATGCCAAGGCTCATGTCTGCACAACGTCATGAGGCCATTGGGATGGTCCGTGGGGGAATATCTCAACGACAAGTGGCTGCACATTTCCACTGCCACCGGAACACCATTTCTGCACTGGTGAGGCGCTACCAGAACACAAATGACGTCATCGATCGACCACGTTCGGGACGTCCACGTGTAACAACGCCAAGACAGGACATATGGATAAGGGTGACCCATCTTCGCCACAGGTTTCAGACTGCAGTGATGACTGCCCGAACCACCCCAGGACTTCGCCGTATCCACCCCAACACAGTTCGACAACGTTTACGTCATCACGGGATCATACCACGACGTCTTGACACAACGTCATCGACAAGCTCGCCGAATGTGGTGCCGAAATCATATCCGCAGACCCTTGTTTTTGTGGAGAAATGTTGTTTTTACAGATGAGTCCAGGTTTAACACTTCCCATAGTGATGGACGTCAACGTGCCTATAGACGCGTGGGAGAACTTTATACACAGGCCTGTGTCTTGGAGAGGAATTGCTTTGGTGGTGGTTCCGTGATGATTTGGGGTGGAATAACAGCACGCCAAAGAACTCCTTTGGTGATTGTTCAGGGCAACTTAACTGGTGTGGGCTACAGGGATCAGATTCTTCGACCTGTGGCAATTCCTTTTCTGCAACGTCATGGCCCTGGGTTAACATTCCAACAGGCCAATGCCCGCCCTCATACGGCAAGGGTTGCTATGGATTTCTGGCAACACCACAACGTTGACTTACTGCCTTGGCCTGCAAATTCACCGGATCTCTCCCCGATAGAGCATGTTTAGGACGAGATGGATCGACGTCTACGCCGTCTTCCTCATCCGCCAGATAACATCCTTGACCTTGCAACAGAACTTGAGAGAATCTGGCGTGACATCCCACAAGCCTTCCTTGCACGTTTGATAGGCTCTATGCGTCGTCGATGCACTGCTGTTCTCAATGCCGATGGTGGACATACCCGTTATTGAGCTTGTGACATGGTCGTTTGACCCCTGTCCCGCTTGTGGACTCGTGACGTCATTGTGATTGACTTTTCAATTGAAATTCTCCCGACTTGTTATGGTCTCATGATCCCTCCATTAAAGTTTATATGTACCTTTGACATTGTTATCGTACTTATCAACTGGGATAATATTTTGACAGTTTCTTTATGTGGCTAGTATAGAATGGATTAGAGGTAGCCCAGTGGACTAAGGCGCAGGAATTCTCTGTGCAAGGTTTCATCCTTGGGCAGTCCAGAAACTTGAGATCATGGGTTTGAATCCTGGTTTGCCTCCATTACGTTTCCTGGCATGTCAGCACGATGGCTGGCGATCTAAGGCGCCAGGCTATTGATCCAGCGAGTTTGACGTGCCGGGATCGAGCCCACCTGTGGCCGGATGTGAAAATTTTGGAGTCAACTTTGTATGCAGACTCTTTCAGTGTTGTCACAATCCCTAGTGTACAATACACAACTCTGTTCACTTAAAAGAACCAACGAATCCGTTGATAAATGACCAGATGGTGGCCACATGAATACGTGCAAACACCTAGTTGTGGGTACAGCAACGTGCAGTAAACGTGGACAAAGTTCTGTGGCTATGTTACCTAGTCCACCCATCTATTAATGGGTGCTTCGTAAGGATGGGAAAGCCACGTTAACTTTGTGCGTCTAAATGGCAGCAAGAGTTGTGTGCTCCCAGGGGTGTTGAGATTGAAAAATACGATGTGCCGTTGAGATTGACATCCTATGATCGAGGAAAAACCAAAGCGCCTTTGAGCAGCTGAGCTGAGCTGGATATTGGCGCTATACAAATATAAAATATATATAATATATGCCCGTGCTTATGCATTTGATCAAAGTTGTGAAGGTCTCCATAACGTCGAGTTTTACCTTCCAAAATAATTACATAACTAATGATACAACTGCAATACTGTTCAAAGACCAGTAGAAAATAATTCACTGACTCAATCACACATTCTGAGTT